AATAATAATAAAAAATAAAAAAATAAAAAAATAAAATAACCCCATTATTCGTTTTTGTCAAAAGAAAATATTACAGAATGAAAACAATTAAAAAACAATTAAATAAAAATAAACAATAAACGTTAATAAAAAAATAAAAAAATAAATAATAAAGGTTACTGAGTATATTAAAGTCACTAGCTTGATTCCTTCAAAATTAATTTGCTGTGAGTGCAGCTCAACTGCCGCAGCAGAGGGTGGGGAGCGAGATAGAGGGTAAGAATTGAGAGTAAGGCAGCAGCGGCACGAAGACCAAGTACAAGTACTTCCGCCTGCTGGCGAGAGTTTCAATGCTGTTGTTGTAGTAGTTGTTGTGACCACCTGCCCAGCGGCATGGAACAGGAAACGAACAGGCGTAAGACACGGCTTGGCGACACTTGAGGCTGCGTTTCGGTAATGTGAAACCCACTCAGAGATGCAGCAGCCGCAGTGGCAGCGGCAGCTGCGCTACTGCGATTTGGCGTTTCCATTGCATCACATGTTTTGTCTGCTTCCTCTTCTGCATTCGCATTATCCATTGTAATTTGATAGTTTTTTATGTTGCCTCAAGTCCATTTGGCCCCTATTAACGTTGTTGCTGGCGCTCTAAAATTACAGCTGCCTCCCTCGGTCTCTTTCTCTCCCCACCATTGGGCTGTGAACTTCTCTATTTGCATCTCTTTCGCACGCGAGGGCGATCTAACGGTTCTGCTTTGCTGTGCACTTTGCATACTGCGCTGCCCAAAAATGGTTCGTTGTTGTTGYTGTTGCTGCTTTTGCCGGGCCTTGGCACAGTTATGTGGCTTGGCCACGTTTTGTTGTTGTTATTGTTGTTTATCTTATGTCTTACGAGGCTTGTTCGTGTTTTTGTTATTCTGCATTTGCAATTTGAGGTTTGTCTTTGGGCTTGACCCGCTGTCAGCTGGGATATTTTTGAATAGTGCTTTGCGAAAAAAGAAAAATTGAAAAAAAAAAAACCGATATGTTATAGATGTATACCCTGTAGAAAAGGCGAAGAAATATAGGATATATCATGCTGAAATTATAATAAGAATAATTATTTATGGAAAATATGAATAATTCTT